TTTTTACCAATTTTATCACATTTTACCACCCATTTTTGCCACCATAATTTTTTTTACCAGACCTGAAAACGGTAAAAAAAATTGACTCCCCGACTTTTAAACGTGTCCTCACTTGTCAAGCGAGGCTTTCTGGAGGCTTTCTCCGTATGATAATTTAGTCTCGTGAAATTTGACATTCCTTCTCCGTCGCCCGTATGAAGCCAATCATCATCTCGACGACTGAACGGAGGTCGGTCGGGGTTCGGGGACGATGGGATTTAGGGACTTTTCGTTACGTAAGGAAGACATCACAAATTTCGGATTCCTCAAGTGTCCCGAGGAGGAGGAGGAGATGAGAGATAAGGATATAGAAAGAGATGAGAGATAATATGAACCAGCAGAAAGTAGCAGACACTGTCCGTGATTTTCCAGGGTTTCAGAAATCATGTCAAAAATTTGTCATTTAGATTTTTCGAAAAATTCTGATATTTTAAACTGTGGTATTTTTATATGATTAGCTGTTAAAATTTCAAAATTTTGTCGTGTAGGTATTTTTAGTGTTTTCGTAATTTGTGTGATTTTTATATTTTATTTTAATAGTTATTGGAAGTTCATAAGGTGGGAATTCGTAAATTAGAAATTTTATAAAGTGGAATTTCGTAAATTTAAAATTCATAAATTCGAAATTCATAAATTAAAAGTTGACAAAATATGTACATACAAAAAAAGTATTACTACAAAAGAAAAATTGGTAGATTTTTAAGTCGATTATTTTCTTTATTAATCAATTAAATAATTTATAACAAATTCTGAAGATATTTTTGGTTTGTTTGTTAATAATTTCAAATTCAATTTAATCCAAATTTAAAAATGAATTGGAAATATTTTCTCGATTTTTTAATTGATCCTAGAAATAAACATTTACATCATTAGACACTTTTTTCATAATACTTGTAAACATTTATAAAAATTTAGAAATTTTGAGATGACCAACTATTTCAAAATAAAAATGTTTCTGCGACACCCTGCCCGTTACAAAATTGTTACAAAGTTTCCTCGGGTGATGACAACGAGGCAAAGATAAGCCGACACTGTCCTTTCGCTTGGTTACGATAATATGACGACGACCATGATGGAGGAGATTGTTGAGGAAATGTCTTCTTCGTGTAATGCTCGCCCCTTGGTAATTATTATGTAATTTTGTAATGTGCAAATTTATAAAGAAGCTAGACATGAGAAAACTCTGTCTTTTAATATTTTGGAGGAGAGTGTTGTTGTCATAAAAATTTTATGAGATGAAAGGATATGTTTCGTAAGGAGAAAGTGTGTTTGACTCCAGAGGTCGGCGCCGAAAAATTTTGCGGTAGCGTAATTCTTTTTCTTTTTTAGCGGCGTATATTTTTTTCCGCGGCGTAAATTTTTTTGATTTTTCTGCGGCGTCGGCAGTGCGGCGTCTCAATTTTGAAGAAATATATAATCAAATTTATCTACGGCGCCTACATAAAATTCTACGCTCTTAGAAATCCAGTATTAAAATAATACCAAGCTGTATTCATATGTGACTCTACCAAACTGGTACTGATAAGTACTACCGTCTTATTAAAGTTTGTATCGGTACGATATCGGTAATAAATTTTTACAGATCGGTATAATTTTAGTACAAAGCGGTATTAACTTTAACACCGAAAAATCAATAGCTGCCTGACTATATCAGATTTCTAACGATTTCGACCTCTGTTTAATTTCCTTTGACACCGCAGTGTCAAATTTTGTTGGAGAAAGTTTATTAGCATATGAAATTTTGCAGTTAGTTTTTGTTGAATAGTTTCCCAAGCTAAAATGAGATATGACAGATTTTGATAATATTTGTGGTTGTATACATCATTCAAGTTGTGAAAAAGTTTGTCGGAGAGACTTTGATTGCTGAAAATTTGAATAGAAAGTTTTTCCCTGCCGTTGATATATTTTTTGATAATTAATTATTTAAAGTTCTTGTACAATTAAAAGTAAGAATTTAGTTTTTTTAAATTTTAATTCAATTTTGAAGTACTTGCTTTGAAATTTTCTCTCGGTTTGTATTTTTCATCTAGAATTGCAATACTTTGCTGAGTTTCACAAGATGCATACAAAAAACTTCGAAAAAGTTATGAATATTTGTAAATTTGTAAACGTTGGACGCCATTCATACAATATTTTGTAGTCAGAAATGTTTAATTAAAGTTTAAGATAATAAAATTGCATGTAGTTTTGATTACATTCGACGAAGAGTTAATAAAATAGTTACCGAGTGAAGTAACAATTTAGCAATAAAACGATGAAAATTATTTCCCAAAATTCAAATCTGCTACCAAACTGGTAATAATTTCTTACGGGAATGTGAAGTTGGATATTGCGAAAATTCATCATACGCGACAGAACTGCTGTGACAATTGCATAATTTAAGCTTATTAAAGGTTACAATACTCGAAATAAGTTGGTAACAAAATCATCACCGCGTGTATTCATTCACTAAATATGAAGCTCTGCCAAGCCGGTAAAGATCTGTGATTGAATGATAACAATAATTTCCACTAAAGTTAATTGACACATCAGGTTATTAATTTATTAAAGTGTTGTAACACTTTGAATCTTCCGGAAATTTTTGTTGCCAACTTACCGTGGAGGTCTCCCAGCGTATGCGTTCAGTCATATTTTGACCAAATTAATGTAAATCGATCACAACTTTAATTAGTATGAAATTTGCAAAGGACACGATCTCCCAATGGGCACGTTTGACAGATATTTGCATCCGAAGAGGAGAAAACATGCAGTAAAGTGTAAATTTATCAAATTTTAATGGTATTTTCTCCTCTTCGGATGTAAATATCTCTGCCAAACGTGCCCATTGGGAGATCGTGTCCTTTGCAAATTGCATACTAATTAAATTTGTGATCGAGTGACACCAGTTTGGACAAAATCTGACTGAGCGCATACGCTTGGAGATCTCCATTGTCAGTAGAAATTTGGTGGCAAAATCCACCACTGACCATTGTTCCCTCTGCACAGCCCTATTTCATCACTATTCCTCCATCCTAACCAAGAAATTGGGTAACGAGAATTTCCAGAAACTTAAATTTGACACCTATCTGTCAGAAACTTTCTTGTAACAATTTTGAATCTTCTCGGAAATTTTTGTTCCCGAAAATTATTACCAAAATCCCCCTGCACAGCCCCCTCCTTTCATTCTTCTCGAATTACTATTCCTCCATCGTACGCAACAAAAAAATGGGTTCGGAATGAAAGTGCAGGCTGCGAAGACGACGACTGTTATCCTTTATTTTTATCCCAGTATTAGGAAAATGGTGGAGAGTGGAATGTGATGGTGGGTGCTTTCTCTTTCCTCGCTAAGAAATCCTTGTTTCTTTGCACAATTGCACTTTTTGTGTAGTCATGTTGTCCTGATTGTGAACATTTGGTGGCAGGCTGGCTGGTTGGCTGGCTGGGTGAGTGGCTTTGCCTATTAGACGAATTCCTCAAATTGTTCTTGACGTGACCGGAGGGTCTGGTCCTGTCAAACGTGGAACAATAACGAGATGAAGGAGAAAAAAGCAGCAGCAAATTGCATTATTATTAGTTTTGACGTTTAGTTGGAATTTAGCAGATATTTTTGCAGAGGAGAAAATCAATAGGGTGTTTTGTTCTGTTTTTTTATTATGATAGGAAAGTTGTATATAGGTAGGTTTAGGAGAAATATGCGAAAAAAATGTATAAGATTCGTTTTTTTTGGAGGGTAAGAATTTTTTTGAAATTTCGTAACCAATTTTTAAAAATATTGCGAATTTTTGGGTACAAATATCAAGATTTTAACAAAGACGTGCTTTTACCCGTTAACGTAGAAAATTGGTATACATTCTTTAAAAAACTGGTATTAAATCGTTACTCACCGGAATACATATAGCAATTTCTCATTGCATTTTTTACTTATGAGCAATATTATTGTTTTGGAATTATGGCGGAATTATCGTTACCGTCCGGAGGTAGATTGTTACCAGCGGATCTACTTTGTTATATTTTATTGAATTATCAGCAAATATGTGTGCAGGTCATAAATATTTTTGATTAGTGAATCAATTCCGTTGATTCTAGACATTGATCTGAGAATAGTTTTTAATGTTAAAAATCTTCAACAAATCAAATTTGCTGTAAAAGTGTGGCACAAATCGATTAAGTTTTTGCAATTCGAAATCGAAGTTTGAAAAATTTTGATAAATAATCTAAATTTTTATTTATTTACAAAACTTTATCTACTGCAGCTACTATATAAGACTGCGTGAATTGGCTCAAAGTTTTGAAATTTTTATAACTGCATGTGTACATATTTCTTTCATAGGAGTAAATTTCTTAAAACATTCCACGTGCAACATTCCCACGCCATAATTTAAATTATTTAGAAACATGTAAACTTTAAATTTTCCAAAGATGAAGAGGTAGAGTTATATCCAGATATTTAATTTGATCAAAGATCAAAATACAGTAAAAATCCCATTCACACTTAATCCACAAGTTACAAATGACAACGTGAATCCATTGTTTCGCGTGAAAATAACCGCTTCCCAACAAATAACGGCAAGAAAGTGGTTTCTTGCGGGTATTTACACCCGCAAAAAATGCACGGCGCAAGAACCCATTTCCCACCGAAATAATTTATAGGGCGCGTATTTCTCGCACTATCTTACAGTTTCATGCACTTTCCTGCACCTTGCATTTTGCTTTGCGGTACAAGAAATGTAACAAACCCATAAGAACTTTCAAATATCGAAATCCAGTAAAAATCTCATTTCCACTGATTTTCGTAAATTTCCACACGTAAATTTCCTCTCTCATTACGCAATTCCCACTAAATTCTGACATACTAATGCCTCCCACACATCACTATCCTCTGACACGTATATCAAAAACCAGCCAGATTTTGGTTTCGCACATACATAATTTCACTCAAAAACTACTCATCCATTAATAATAATTCCTCTCTGGTTTTTCAGGTCCGGACGCGAAGCTGAAGCCCGTGCTGGTGTACATTCACGGGGGTATGTTTGCCTGGGGGAGTGGAAATCTGGTGGACGGGACCGTCATGGCGGCATATTCTGACGTTGTCTTTGTCTCGATTAACTACCGCCTCAGCATTTTAGGTAATAAAACAACGAGTCTATAAATAAATAAATTAGAGGATTCACAGATCAAATCATGCCCTCGCCCTCCTCCTCCTCCCACGTCCACGTCCCGTCCCGTCACGTTGCGTCGCGATGTACATGTCCACTCAACCAGTCAGTGAAATTCTGTCAAGTTAAATATTTTATTTTGTTTGATATCAAATCTCCAGTGCACTTTGGTCTCGCTCTTTCGTCTGGAGCCTGGTTGAATATGCAAAAGAGTTTACACACACGAGCAGGGAAGGATGTGGGGCACGCTAAAAAATTGGGGGGACTTTGATCAAGGGGCAATTTAATGTGAAGAGTATTTTATATTTAGGAAAGTGAAACATTTTAAGGCAGATTTGTTACCAATCGGTAGTCTTTTTGCAAGGTAGTTATTAGTGAAAACGGATCACCTTTCATGGTTCATTCAAAATTAATATGCACTAAAAAATCTAAAAGGTTATCTGGTGGATTGTTGGTTTGCATAATTTAATTTTGTTTAAAAATGCATAAATATTTTCCAGATGTTCATTTTAAAAATAGAATAAATATGCAAAACTAAAAAGTTGTGAATGGCAATCTGAAACTTAGGCCATTTAACTTTTTAACAGATCTGAGGACTTAAATAACTGCATATTAATTTTGAACGAGTAGTATTACTGCAAATGTTTCCGATTAATTTTGCTCGCAAAATTTTATAAATTTTTGTTACTAATTTTGATAGCAGTTTAAATTTTATGTTTGCCAATTTTTTACCATTTCGTAATTGGTTTTTTATGCAATTTTATTCTGAATTTATGTTACCATTTTTTTTTACCAAGGTGTACATATTTTTACCAATTTTATTACCAATTTGTATTTTTGTTTTTATGGTGGTTACCAATAAGTTTTGGTACCAATCATATTTCATGTTTACTGTTTTTTTCAATTCTTAATTCTTTATTATACAATTGTATTCTCAATTTGAATTTTTTGCTACTAATTTTTATCAATTTTATTACCGATGTTTTGCCATTTTTGTTGATACCAATAAGTTTACCAAATACTAATCGCCTAGGGATCGCATTAGTCCGGGATTTTTAAGCGTGTTCTCACTCGAGAACTGTGTCCAGTGTGTGGAGTGAAAGTTGAGCCTCGTCCGGTGCACAAAGGACAGACCAACAACATGACATCACATTCCGCCTGGGTGGACATGAAAGAAAGTGGAAGAGCTTTTACGGTGGATGATGGCGTCGTGTCGTGTCACTCCGCCATGTAGTCGACTCACTGAACTGAAGTAATCATGCGACGTTCATGTCAAAACGGGGTCCAACCAGACTGCACCAAAGTCAGCTCGGTCATAGGTCGGACTCCGCAGTACGAAATTTATGACTTTTTTTTAAAGGAAACAAGAGTACAGAACTCTTAGGAAGGTTGAAGGACTTTATTTTTACCGGAGACCAGAATAAAATAGTTTTACCGAAGGTCCTACTACACTGCAATTTCTACCAGAGAAGAGACCAGATATAAGTTTTACCAGAGACCAGAGTGTACAATTTTTACCAGAGACCAGAGTGTACAATTTTTACCAGAGACCAGAGTGTACAATTTTTACCAGAGACCAGAGTGTACAATTTTTACCAGAGACCAGAGTGTACAATTTTTACCAGAGACCAGAGTGTACAATTTTTACCATAGACCAGAGTGTACAATTTTTACCAGAGACCAGAGTGTACAATTTTTACCAGAGACCAGAGTGTACAATTTTTACCAGAGATCAGAGTGTACAATTTTTACCAGAGACCAGAGTGTACAATTTTTACCATAGACCAGAGTGTACAATTTTTACCAGAGACCAGAGTGTACAATTTTTACCAGAGACCAGAGTGTACAATTTTTACCAGAGATCAGAGTGTACAATTTTTACCAGAGACCAGAGTGTACAATTTTTACCAGAGACCAGAGTGTACAATTTTTACCAGAGACCAGAGTGTACAATTTTTACATTTCCTAATGTACAATTTTTACTAGAATTTACCGCTGGTACATGATTATACCGCCGACCAGAATACCCAATGTGAACCGGAGACCAGAGTGCACAATTTTTACTGGAGACCAAAATAACCATTTTTTAAATTTACTGTAGACCATAATTCACCAATTTTACCGGCGACTAGAATCCCTAATTTTTACCAGAGACCACAATCCATCCGTTTTCTTACAACCAATTCACACAATTTCTACCACAATTTTTACACCAAAATCCTAACCACCTACCCGAAACCTCCGATCTATGCTCTTCCTGCTTCCCTAATAGTAGTGGTGGTCGTTGGTCCTTGGTCGGATATGGTTGGGCAATAATATAAAATAAAAATAAAAATAAATCCGAGCTCAAAGCAGGAAGGATATCCGTTTCAGTGGAGAGATTTTTTTCCTCTGTTTGTTACCGGGAAAGAAAGTCCATACATACATAAGCCTTTCTTGGTAGTAATATTATCGTATATTTCGTGTTGTTTGGCTCCTGCTAAGGAGATATTATTGGTGGAGGAGGGATAAGGATTTTTCAAATTGGGGGCAATTTGTAGTTGTTTCTGGGACAAATAAAATAGAGGAAGAATAACGAAGGAAATGTGGAGGAGGAGAAAGTAAAATGTGGGACACGGGAGAAAGTGGGATTCATACACGAAGAGAACGGCAGGGTTGTTTGTCAGGGAGGAATTTTGATCGGTTTATTTAGTTCACAAAGTGATCCGAATCAGAAATATTCCGTGTCACAAAATTGTATTACACATACGAGAGAATTATTTTAATCTAAATTTTGATTGGCAAGGATAAATTAAAACCACAAGCTTAAATCAACTGGCGTAAAATTGCAACACTTGTGTCTTGGTTGTAAGAAAATTTGGCAAAAGTCAATTTAAATGAGAAAAATATCAGGGAGAGCAATGCTTAATCAGTGAAATTCGAATATGTAAGTATAAATTCGTCAAAATATAATGGTTAAATTCACACAGTCCTTGGTAACTTGTAAAATCCTGACGTTTTATAAAATAATATGACCAACTTTTTCTAACTAAAAAGAGGCGTTTGATCTACACAAATTTGTGACCTAATTTTATTTTCCTCGCAAATATTGGAAAAATCTTGTAAAACTTTATACAATTTACGGATTTTACAAAGTTACGAAACACTTCGTGAATTACCTACAAGGACAACAAAAATGTGACAAACTCTCCCCCCCCCCAAAAAAAATACAAAAAATTCCCAAAATTCCCGAACCCTGTCCCTTTACACACACCCCTTATACCGAGGTGATTACTACCCACTGATGCCCATAGTAGGGACACATACGACCCAAAGTAACTACCCGAATTCCCCTCCACTCCAATTTGTAGGAGCCATAACGGATATATTGGATTTGGTTTTATGCTTTCACAGGCTTTTTAAATTTGAACGACTCTCCATCCTCGAAACCTCGTGTGGCCAACTACGGCCTGATGGATCAGATCGCTGCTCTTCACTGGATAAAGGAAAATATCCGAAATTTCGGCGGAGATCCGGATTCCGTAACGCTAATGGGCTACGAGGCGGGAGCAGCTTGTATAAATTTCCTTATGTCTTCACCCACCGTCACGCCGGGTAATAACCGTTACATTTTGTACATATTCTTCTATTCTCAGATTAGGCAATGAACAAAGCGATGAGCTCAAAAACCGGGGAGAAATGGACCATAATCTAATCATGAAGGAGATGCCCGAGAAAGTAGTTAAATAACGGGCGGAAATTATAATGGGGGGAGAAAGCAATAATAATTTTTATGGGTATGTTATTATTTTTTCTATTGAAAGTATGACGAGGAGAAAAAAGGGGGACATTTATTAAATCGGAGAAAGTAGGGGGAGAATATTTTCAAAATTTTGAAGGTTTTTTAACAGTTTTTATTAATGGAATTATGTGTAGAATGTTTATTTTCAATTTAAAATTTTTGTTACATTAGCGTCATTAATTAATATCAATACTTTGACTCGATATAATTAATTTGTATAGTACAAATCTAAAATTTATCTTAGCATTAGCAAATAAAATTCTTCAATTTTTAAAATTGGCGTCATTACTTTACCCAATCTGAAAAACTTTCTTTAACGTGAACAATTTAGAAACACTTTTGTAAATTTTGTAATTTTATGAATTTTTAAGTAATAGTTTTTATGGGTATAGGCTATTTTGCGCTATTTTGTTCTATTGAATGGGGGGAAAATTTTGAAACTTTGTTACGCATGAATTTAATATTTTTTAATGATTTAATTTTGTAAATTTTATGCAAAATGGTTATTTTCAATTCAGAATTTTCTTCCATTAGCGTCATTAATGTCATTACATGGAAACATCGACATTTAAAATTGATCTTGGCAATTAAAACTCGTCAGCTATTAAAATTGGCACAATTGCTTTGCAAAATCTTTACAAAAGATCGGAGAAAGTATAAGGAGAAAAAAGACAGGAATTTACCAGTTTTATTTTTCAATTTAATTTTATAAAATTTATGCGAAATGGGCATTTTCAACTTTCAATTTTTCTTAAATTGGCGTCACTAATGTCAGGTTATGACATTAGGACCTCAGTCATCTTAAATTGATCTTGGCAATTAAAATTCGTCAGCTTTTAAAATTGGCACAATTGCTTTACAAAATCTTAAAAATTTCTACTAAATTAGCAATTAGCATGGAATTAAGTAGAAACAGTTTTGGAAATTTTATAATTTTATAAATTTTAAGCCAATAATAATTATTATGGGTATACAAATATTATTTTTTTCTATTCACGGAGTAGGGGAAAATGTTGAAAATATTTAAAAACACATTTTTTTAATATTGAAAAATTCGATAGAACGGAACGAACTAAAGTATGGCTTTATTATTCAGCTTCGAGTATGCCAGTTTTAATAAAATAATTTTAAAAAAGCTTGCTTAGGCGAGGCGCTGCTAAAAGTGAAAAACAAGGCCTCTGGCATATCTTTTAAATATCTCGTACCTTTATCATTGTAACAGGAGTTGGTGGCTTTGTCTCACCGCAAGGCCAAACATTTTTACCGTTTACCATACCACGACGTTTATTACTTACACTTTCTGCTAAGATATTCAATTATTGCTAATTAAAATTGTATCTATATGTATAAACGCTTAAACAAACTTATTGCTTCGAAAGGGTTATAAAATTGAGTGGATTTTGTAAAATTATTATGCAGAGGACCAATATGATCAATAATATTTATTTAGCTCATAATTAAATTCGATAGTTAACCAGTAATTCAGGTAGCTAATAAAATTTGATGGATGTGCACAATTTTCAATAGGTGTTATGCAAAAAATTAAGATGCCGACGCACGAATAACAACGCGAGGGTATTTCCTAATTTTATTTACATATTAAAACAACTAGTTTTCAGTACGAACTAAAAAGTGATAAATGATAATTTTGACGTAAACCCAGATTAGTTAGGTTCTTGAGAATATATTCTTCATTACTAGAGGCTTGGCGTAAAATGTTTGGCCTCGCGGTGATGCAAAGTCACCAACTCCTGTTACAATGATAAAGGTACGAGATATTTAAAAGATATGCCAGAGGCCTTGTTTTTCACTTTTAGCAGCGCCTCGCCTAAGCAAGCTTTTTTAAAATTATTTTATTTCATGAATTTTAGGTGATGCACATTTTCAAACAATTAATTGCACCTCAAAATTGTTAAACTTTTTGAAGACCGAATGTCTTGAATCTTTTTCATTACAAAATTAGTTGAAAATATGTACAGAGGGTCGCAAGATTAATTTAAAAACGGATTAAGGATCAATAATCCAAATTTTTAAATTAATTTAGCAGAAAATAATTTTTCAGATATTAGGTTTTACGGGGATTAGTTATTTCACGAGAACAATCTGGATTAGGGAGGAAGATTATTTAATCTGGATTAGATTATAAATTACAAAATGAACTTATAAACATTTAAATCCAAAATATATGCATATAGGATGTTCAAATTTAAAATATGTAAATTTGACAAATACTTAAATACACTTAAATACAGTACTTAAATATAAAATTATTGAAATTTGAATTTGCAAAAGAATTTGTAATTTTTTGTGCGATTGGCCAAAAATGGAAATTACAATTGACCAATTAATTTGGCAAATTGCCTAACACAACTACTTGTATTTGGAAAATTGTTATATTGATAGCTAGTAGCAACCAACTAGGAATATTGTAATTTTTGGTTAGCAACATGAATGGTTTCAGATGCTTCCATCAAAACTTTTTCAGTTTTGGACCGATCTCAGTCGGATTTGTTTTAAATGACGCACAACCGATTTCTGCATGATCAAATCAGGTTTTATGCATATAGTCCTTTGACAGAAGTGTCTCAAATTTTGATTGTAAAGTTTCAAATCCAAATTTGAGAGCGAAGAATAAAACTTTTCTATCGGGCATATTGAAAAACCACATCTCCTAATTCTCCTCTGCACGATTGCTCTTTACGCCATTTGCGTAGGATTAACCGTTTAGGCTCTAGCCTCGCTGACAGTTTCAAAGGGTGTATACGAAAGCATACCTAGGCTTCGCCGTAACCATGGTGACGCTTTTTTGCGGGCACCCATTGTTACTTTTGCCTCACCTAAGAAAAACGGAATTTTTTTGGGAAATTTTTGAATTTTGAAAAATGTATGCACAAGACAGAATTTTCCCACATTAAAGTTATTATCTCAAGGAAAGCTTTAGCACCTAAGCTTAACACTTGCAATAAAAACCCGCCAACTGTAGAAATTGGTGCTATCACTTCACAAAATCTGATAAACTTTCGTTTACGTGAATAATTAGGATTAGAGAGAGAGTTTGGTAATTTTAGAAATTTTATTAATTTTAAAGCAATAATTTTTATGAGCATATTGATAAGGAAAAAGTAGTATGAGGCGAAAAAGAGGGACATTTAATCAACGGGAAAAGAAGGAGGAAAAAGTTTAGAAACTTTTAGGCAGGAATTTAGCGTGTTTAAATATTATAATTTTCTCACATTTTTTTGCAGAATGTTTATTTTCAATTTAGAATTTTCGAATCATTATGTTCGGAATAAATACGCTAAGTTCGAGAAATCTCAAATTATATTTGAAAAATTACAATCCGCCAACTTTTATAATTGGCGCCGTCACTGTACAAAATCTTAAAATTTTTATTGGTGAATAATTAATAGGGGTAATAGTAGAATATAGTATATTATTCCATGAGAGATCTGGAAACAGTTTAGTAAATTTTTGAAATTTATGAATTTCAAACTAATTTCAATTTTATGCAAAATGATTATCTTCTATTTAGAACTTTTTTTTACATTATCATTAATATCGCTTCACCAGTATCTTAGGTTACAAGTACAATTAAAATTCGACAACTTCTAAAATTGACGCCATCAATTTACAAAATTTGAGAAACTTTCTGTTATGTGAATAATTAGCAGGGATTTAGAAACAGGTTAGTAAATTTTCTAATTTTATGAATTTCAAAGTACCTGCAAACTTTATGAAAAACTTAACTATCGAGTTAGAATTTTTAATAAAATATAAAATAATATCAACCTCGAATAAATCTCAAATTACAATCAGCCACTAAAATTCGAAAACTTTAAAAATTGGCGTCATAGCAACAACTTAATTATCAATTTATAATTTTTTTTATAGTACAAAATGTGTTAAAATATCATTCTTCATTGGATTTGAGACTTAACATTGTACCCTTTCAAAATTGGCGCCATTTACAAAATTCTAAAAACTTTCCCCCCAAAAGTGGCCAGCTACGAACATGGATTTAATTTGATTTAATCCACTACGACGAAATCCTTTCTCTCCCGTTTAAATAATAAATGGGTGAAAAAACACGAGTCTCGCTCAACTTTCACCAGTGTGATGACCACCATCACGAACTTTACTGTAGTCAAGTCACACCCGACAAGACCAAGCAAAACCCAGACTCGCTTTTCAGGCGGCCGAGCCAGTGGCGGCGGAAGTTAGTGGGGCACATGGGGACATAAGAATTGTGAGATAGAAGCAGCTTATTAACCTCTTTCGTACTACTGAGTTTTAAATAAAATTTCCCTTTGATACGATGTAAATTTCAGAATTACAGCTGATATCAACAAATTAAACTCTGTTACCAGTTTCCAATTTTTAAGTTTTTTTTACAAAAACAGGAAAAATTAGCTTTTTAACATTGTTCGGTATGGAGAAAATTCCAAAATTTGGAGAGAAAAATATCGAAAAAAAACACTTTACACCATCGAATTTTCCACGAAATACGGATTAAATGCTTTTTTAAAGACATTTGGGTGTCATGGTAATTTGTGCAGTATACAAATTCGTGTACTTTGTCGTTAAGAGGTTAAAATGGGGAAGATAGGATTTTTCTGAATTTCAGGGGGGCAAACGTCCCCCCACTTCCGCCGCCACTGACGCCGACTGGTGTGGACCTCTTGTCTCAATGTGTATCAAGTGTGCAATTGAATGTCCGCAAATCGAGTAAAAGTAAAGTGGGAAAGGGGGAAAGTTTGCTGGAGTGAAAGTGAAATTGTTTCAGGACAATGTTGAAAGAAAGAGAGAGAAAGTCAGCCTGATACGATCTGGGGTGCACGCTTAGAGATTTTTTGGTAGATTGCTACCAAATTGGGTCGTAGTTGCTGAGATGGTTATATTTTTTCATGGTGAAATTGAATGAAGTTTTGGTTGGAAATGGGCAATTTTTGTTAACAAGGGTTATATTTTTTCCAGTAATCTTTTTGTAGTAATTTTTTGCCAGTAATCTTTTTGTAGTAATTTTTTACCAGTAAATTTTTTAGCGGTAATAATTTTTACAAGAATGTTTTAAAAGTATTTTTTTACCAATAATTTTTTTCTAATAAATTTTTTACCAGTAAATACCGCTTACCGGTAAATTTTTACCAATAAACTTTTTATCAGAAATTTTTTATTACCATTTTTACCAATACAATTTTCTGCCGGTTAACTCAAATACAAGTAAAGTTTTTACCACTATTTTTTTACCGGCAGATTTCTACCAGCAAAAATTTTTTTACCAATGCGCTAATGTAGCTACCGAAATTTACAACTTTTCAAGTTTTCTAGTCTTCTTACAATGCACTACATTTTTCTTTACTAATTTAACACTTTCACTCGTCACGACACGGTGACGACACTTGCTCCCCACCGTTTTTTAGAGTGCCACCCTGCCATGTGTATGTAAGTGAGTGAGTGAAGTGCCAAATCAGAAATTCAATGGGGAAAGTTTTCTTATTTTCTAATAGACAAAGATGGAGAATGGTGTGGAGAAAACATGAATTGGCAGCGTAAAACACATGCACTAACAGCAAGACAATGTCGCAAAAAAAGTGTGTAGGAGATTCTCCTTTAACTGAACGGAAACCAAAAAACCTAAATATTTTGTAGGAACAAAAACTTTCTCCTGCCCCAAAAAAAGCGTCGCGTTGCATAATTTTCCAAACTTTAAACGTTTCCGACATTGTTTGAGGAGCAACATTGTTGATGCGAGTGACTTTTTGTTTGGACGACGGATTAAAAATTGGTCCAGTTTCTTTTGTTGGGAAAAGTTGCAGAATTTTATGTAACATTATACAACAGGAATTCCATAGAAAATGAGAAAACTGGGAAACTTCGGGTGGCCCGAGGAATCAGGGTGGAAGTTTAATATTTCTGAATTGAAGTTGGTAACAAAATCGTCACCGCCGATGTAATCACTTCACTAAATACCACCGAGTGGTGGTAACAATAATTTCCGGGAAATTTATATTCGTCACTTTTTAGTTAAGAATTGGTTAAAATGTGGTAAGAATTTTGAATCTCCCAAAAATTAGTGATACTTTTCGATGTTTCATTGTTGTTTGGATTTATTTGGTTGTTTAGATGATTAACAACAGTTGCGTGATTACAATCCGGTGATAAAATTAATGTTTCCACTTTCACCACATCTGCATAATTTCGAAATTGGAAAATTTGCCGTTTTTTTTGGGAATGCTCCTAGCCAAATATGAATTTTGTTTAAATCTCGCTTTGAATCAAACAAATTTAGATAAAGCCACTGGGTGCGAAATGAGGTTGCAATCGAAGCGATTAAAGTACACGTTTTACGATATCTAATTGAAGAATTTTGCATTTTTTAGGGAAATTGAGATTTTCGATTTCAATTTCCAATTCAAACCTGAATTTCGGAGAGGCTCAGAGCCTCATACGGGGACGATTTTGTTACCAACTTATTTTTAGTGTGCTTATACAAAATTTGTGCAACATATATGAAAATTTTCAACCTAATTTTTAAGTGAGATTGGAACCTATTAATAGTTCTCAGACACACATGTGCCCAGTTACATAAGACTGATTCCGACAGAAAAACTAGTGCACTCGTGTATTTATGTAATCCCATTATTTTGTGACGGTTACTTACCCACCGAGCAGAGACAGATGTCCCGTTTAATTTAAAATTCTTTTAGTGAAAATGTAGACGACTTGTAATAATTTCTTGCGTAATTTTACCAACTTGTTACATAAGTTTGAAAAATGGTTGTTGATTTTTTTTACAGGATTATTATTTTGTAAAATGGCTCTTCAATTTCTTTACAGGATTATTAAATACTTTGAAAAATGGTTTTTTAATTTTTTATTTGATTATTAAATAGTTTAATAATGGCTATATTTTTTTAAATGATTATTAAATATTTTGAAAAAGAGTTGCAGAATTTGTTTAAAAGGATTATCAAATATTTTTGAAAACTGGTTGCAGAATTTGCTTAAAAGGATTATTAAATATTTTAAAAAATGGTTGCAGAATTTGTTTGAAAGGATTATCAAATACTTTTGAAAAATGGTTGTTGATTTTTTTTACAGGATTATTATTTTGTAAAATGGCTCTTCAATTTCTTTACAGGATTATTAAATACTTTGAAAAATGGTTTTTTAATTTTTTATTTGATTATTAAATAGTTTAATAATGGCTATATTTTTTTAAATGATTATTAAATATTTTGAAAAAGAGTTGCAGAATTTGTTTAAAAGGATTATCAAATATTTTTGAAAACTGGTTGCAGAATTTGCTTAAAAGGATTATTAAATATTTTAAAAAATGGTTGCAGAATTTGTTTGAAAGGATTATCAAATACTTTTGAAAAATGTTTGTTGATTTTTTTAAAAATTTTTTATAAGATTGTTTCATCAGTCAAGCTTAAAATTTTACGAACTTGCTACATAATTTTAAAAATGGTTGCTGGATTTTTATAGGATTGTTATTTTGAAAAATTGTTTTTTAATGTTTTTACACAATTTTTATTTTGAAAAAGGTTATTGAATTTTGTACAGGATTTTTAATTTTAAAATACGGTTGTTGAATTTTTTCCTTATTTTTCTTACAGGATTATTTCACCGCTCAATCTTAATCGCTGGGTCGTCTCATTCGCCCTGGGCGTTGATACAGGAACCTTACTTGGCCGGTCAGAGTGTCGCTGCGGCGTTGAATTGCTCAGTAAATAATAATTCGTCGCTGCTCGGTGGAGATCATAATTTGGGAATTGTGCCGACCACCACGACGACTGCAAGTCCCCACAGCCACGCGTCCGACCCTGTCCTGGAATGTTTGAAGACGAAACATTTTTCAGAATTTAGCAAATTTTCGTTACCGAAATTCTCCGTGGATTTTGGACCGAGTGTGGATGGGATCGTGATAAAGCCAAATTTTAGGGTAAGTAAAATAACGAAACAATTCATGAAGGGTTTAGTAACTTTGTAAAATTTGTAAATTTTATAAAATAATTTTACAAACTTACGAAATTAAAATTAATTTTACAAAATTACAAGACCTCCTTGATCTTAGAAAGCTTGGAAACTTCGGAAAAGATAGTCAGTCTATAGAATTTATGGATTTTATAATGTTACCAAGGCCTGCGTGAATTGCCTCAAATTAAAATTTGCCAAAATTTTTTATCTATATTGGATAATTAAAAAATGTCAGTTTGGACGGTACATCTGTAACGAGGTTTATGGAATTATGCATTTTACAATTTTTCAAAAGGGCGTCAAACTTTGACTAATAAGACATTTTTTGTTTTTCAATTTTTTGACAAGCGGGAAAAAGGCATATACATATTTTTTCCCCAAAAAAGCTTTTTGAACACTCTGTTTCTGAGAAAGTTTACAAAAATTTGCAAGTCAATTTCCTTGGAAATATTTATTTGTAAAATTGTCCAAAAGTTTGTAAGTTTACAGAATTTACGGATTTTGCAAAGTTACAAAGGACTGTATGAAATTGTCTTAATGTAAAATTTTGTTTTCTCGTGGGATCGTATCTGTAATGAGTTTAGATTGTTTTAATTATTTCATTTTACAATTTCCAAATCGGTGTCAAACTTTGTCTATTTTTTTCGAATGAGAAAGGTTTGGAATTTTTTATTGAAATGTAAATTTTAATCGTTGTGGGTATCACGATTCCTAAAAAATTTATAATCATAATTTTTTCGGATAATAAATATCTAAAGTTCAAAGTTAAAGAATTTCCTGGGGGTTAAATCAATTACTAAAGAGATAAATACTAGTAAAAAAATTAAAAAAATCTATTTACGATATTTATTCAAGTCGGTGTCGGAAAACGAAATCTACACGAAGTTCTATCCAATTGTTGGTTTTACAATGTTTCAAAACGGTATCAAACTTTAACTGATATCACATTTTTTGTAATATGAAATTTTTTAATTTTTTGGAAGTTTGATTGCGAGCATGAGTTACTGATTTTTGCCGTATTTATATATTTATTATAAAGGTAATTCACTGGAATACGAATCTATAATAAGTCTAACGAAATCATAATTTTACTATTCTTCACAACGGTTTCAAACTTTGACTAACATCACGTTTGAATTTTTTCTGCAATGAGAAAGGTTTGAAAAAAATTTGCAATATCGATAGGAATTATGTGATTTCAGAAATATTCACCAAGCAAAATTTCTACTTAATTTAATTCGATTGAAGAACAAGTTTGATAAATAATTTTCAAAAAAGATCAGATTGCCAATTGAATAAATTTTTTTATCAATTTTTTTGTCAAACAATTTTTTTTCAAACCTTTCTCACTGCAGGAAAAACTAGAACACGGATAAAAAATTCAAAGTTTGTAACCGTTGTGACAAAATGGTAAAATTGTAATTTCTTAAAATTATTGTTAGTATAGATTCAATTGGCGTTCAATTACCAAAATTTCCAGTGAATTGATGAGAAATTAAGGAAACATTAGTAATAACCACATTAAGATTTGTGATATTTATTCAAGAATGTACTTATCAGTGACACTTATCGATGTCAACGATTCCAATCTATCAAAGTTTTTTACCATTAATTCTGTATTTTTTTTCAAAAACGATATCAAACAATTTATACAGTTTTGAATTGGCGAAAGGTTTGATTTTTTTGCATATAATTTAATAACGTAGACAAATTTGGAAAATATTATAAAAAAATAAGTTTATAATTTTCTGAAGCGAAATTTATACTTAATTAAATGCATTTGAAGTTTTACTTTCATAATTTGCTGAGAGTTTAATAATTTTCTAAAAAGATCAAACCGAAGAAAATAATGTGAAGATGGTAAGCATATTAAACTTTAAGATATTTACCATTGTTCAACAACAACATGTCACCTGTAATAAGTGTTTTTTGTTAATTTTTAACTTTTTTTAACACTGGTATCAAACTTTCACAGTTTGCATAAAATTCAATTCAATAAGACAGTGAAACAAACTGCGTGATTTTGAAAATATTTATAATTTCAAGCGTCTGAATTTTTGAGAAATTCAGTGTTTCATATGAAATGGGAGTATTCTAATTTTTGGTAATGCTTAATGTTTAAGAAGCGATAACATCAAATGACTGCAATACACCGAGGCAATTCACGCAGTCCTTGGTAACATTGTAAAATCCGTAAATCCATTAAACTTACAAACTTTTACAAAATTTCACAAATATTCTTTAGGAAAATTTGCTCATAGATTTTTGTAACATGGCGCAGATTTTTGTAACATCACGGGCGTCTCTTTATTTTGTACAAGTTTGCAAAATTATTTTACAAAACGCACAGATTTTATGAAATTACCAATGACTGCACGAATTCTGTCATAATTAAAATTTTGATTTTTGATTTTTTTTAAAGAATTATTCTGTTGTTAACAAATTGACAATCGAGACATCTATTCCTTTCTAAAGGCTAAAGCTACTAATGTTTTGTAAAATGGCGTCAAACTCATTAGAAATTTTTTGTAAAATGGCGTTAAACTCATTAGAAAATTAATTCTTATTATGATAACTTTTTAAAATATCTATTTTATGAAAGTAAAAATGATCTCGCTGGAAGATATTTTTAGACTGATGGTGATTTTTATTAAACAACTTGGTTTTAAGGTTTTGACAGTACATAGGAGACATTCATACATATGTAATAATATGTGGTTAGAAGTGACCATACAAACTACGCAGAGTTATGCTCAAACGAAGTGTCCCTTCTAGTGAGGCATAAAAACAAAAGGACCCTTTTAATCCCTTGTCCTGGGAAAAAGGTTGGAAAATGCTCAGCCCTCATAAAAGTCGACAAACTTAAAAATTGATAAATATGGAAAACTTTGTTAACATGCATATTTTAACATCCTCCCTCAATTTTTAAAGTTCAATATCGGCAGTTTCCACTGGATTTGCCCTAACCGAAATTACATTTGGCCGGCTTTTCAGAAAAAGGAAAACACAAAGAGTGGCTTGAGCAACTATTATTAGTATGCAAAGGGTTAAGATCCATTCCATTGTTGACCAGGCTGGTTCATTGCTTGTGTGGTAGTGGATTGACCCTCCTTCGTCAGTGGAACCATTGATCATCAGACTGGTCCAGTTGAAACTAGGCTGCAAGTGCCAGTTGGCTTTCATCGTGAATAGTGGGTCGACTACCTCTTGGTGAACAAGGCTGGATTCAGTTCCTGAAAATTCAATATCATTTATTTTAAAATTAGCATTCATTGGAAGGATGAACACGCTAGCAGGGCATTGTTGCAGCTTCCTCTCAATGGTAATATTGGACCCAGGGCAGTAGATATGATATTGTCCGTGGTGTAGTTTGATTTGTACAAAATCCCATGGTTCAGCAAGGTTCTTGTCATAACAGTGGTCTATGTCAAAGTGATTGGAGTTCTTTGTTTTCGCTGTTTGCGTGCATCCTCGAGTGGGCGAAACAATTAGGTCGGGGGTTGTAGGCTCCTTAACATTGATGGAGTATACGCAGTCATCTTTCGTAGAAAGGATGGCATTATGGGGTCCCTTGTACTTTAGAACGCAGGTTTCATTCTTCCTTTCAACTTTGAGATCGAAGGAGTCTGGCTCGATGAGTTGCAAATCTTTGTTAATTTCAGTTGCTGTGAAGTCCACATACAGCTTGGTTCTGTCATCTGATATTTCGCACTTTTGAGATTGTGCGAAGCTGACTGGGCAAGCATCACCACAGGGTAACGTGAAATTAAAGAAATCCATTAGTGGTGCGTAAACTTTTCCTCGCCGCCACTGTCTTGTTGCTTCTCTAATTATTTCTCTACCTATCATGAGGCGACTGGTAAGGTAGGCAATTGCGAAATTGGTGTCAATGGATTTTCCCTTGAGTTCGTCGTGATCAAGCTGATGTAGCTGAAGCTGTTCTAGTGTAGCATTTAGGCTAACCTTAAGCTTCTCAATCTCTCTTTCCGATATTTCCACGCGACGTTCCAATTCATCCAGCATCTCTCTTTGTTCCGCTACTGTTCCTTGCAAAGCAGAGATTCTTCCAGTTTGAACAAACGAATTGATTGCTCCACCAACTGATAAGCCGGCTACAAGGACAGTCACACCAATTATTACTCCAACTGCAAGTAATTAGAGGACTCTCTTCACTCTTCGTCCAATCTCTCTGGTATGTCGCGAATTAATATGATCGGAGAATTTTCTTTTAGGGCACATTTTTTCTAGCTCATCCAGGAACATTTCGTCGTATATTTTGTTACATTTCTCGGTTGCATAGGCACTTAAATCCTTATGGAGTAGATCCTGTGTTAAAATTTCGCACGGGTTCATGAATTTGACGAGCAAGTGGACTTGGTTATATCCCGTTGTAACTGGGATTGGACTCTTTTTCCATAGTAAAGGGATCGCATTCTGATGTGTCACCCCACAAGCTTGCGTAATAAACATAAGAAGGATGGTGAGAAGGCTCATCAGTGAGAAGTTGGCTTGGAGGGGACCTCTCTTTACTTTAGTTGGGTTGTCCTTGCTCTCCTTTGTCTCATTTCTTTCCATACTGAGATCGTGTCTCATCTTGAAATGCTGGGTCTTCAGTAGTGGCTTAGTTAATCCATCTGCAATTTGTTCACCGGTATGTACATATTCAATTGCCAACTGTCCTGTACTAACTAGCTCTCTTGTGTAGTGGTACCGGACATCGATGTGCTTGGATCTTGAGTGCATCTCTGGATTTTTGACCAATTTTATTGCACTCTGGTTGTCAACATGAATTATTGTTGGGGACTCTTGTGGGAATCCTAATTCTTCTAGAAATCGTCGTAACCAAACGGCTTCACGCGCTCCAGAAGCGAGAGATATATATTCACTTTCCATTGATGACATTGAGACAATGGGTTGCTTTTGGCTTGACCATGAAATAACGCTGTCATTTAGCATGAAGACAAA